ATCGAAATTGTAAATCTCAGATTTAGGGTAATAAAAGTATATAGAAATAAGAAAAAGAGAATAAATATGATATTTAGAGTATAAATATAAGATTTAGAGTAATAATATAAGAGTAAGATAATTATACAATTGAATAAAAATAATAATAATCAGGTGATAAATGATAAAAATTAAGAAAATTTCATATAATCAAAGAAAGGTTATTGAATTAGAGAAATTTATATTACTATAATAACAGTATTCTCATAGAATGATTCATTTTTCATTAGTTTATTCCATTATTGGTCTTCGAATTCTTATAATTTACAGTTATTGAGTTGATATCTACAGAGAGATGATATCAAAATATTACAGATTAGTGACTGATTATAGGAGTTAGCTGCTAATCTGTAACTTGAGTGAGAGAAATGAATTAAACTAAAGTAATTTTATTTATTAGTTTTCCAAGATTCTGTATCAATATCTTCAGATATTGTTGTATTTAATTATTAATTTGGTTTCATTTATGTGTTTTATAAATATTAACAATGCGTTCACTTTTTCTGGATCAAAAGCGCAAACTCTTAAATTATAGTTATTGAAATAATTATCTTATTTTTCTGGATCAAAGTGACAAACTCTTCAAATTGTATTCACCTTACTTTTTCTGGATCAAAGTGACAAATCCTTCTTTGTAACAATAAATTTAATTATTAGGATGAAGAATGAAAGGGCACTATATAAAACTAATTGCATGCAAATAAGTAATTATATTTTAAAGTTTTTTATTATTTTATTATTTTATTGTCAATTCTTCTATCTTTTCTAATTACTCTCATTATATATATTTTTGGCTTCCTATTTATAATGTAATTTAAGATGTAATTTATAGTGTAAATTATAATAGAATTTATAATAGAATTTACAGTATAATTTATGATAAAATTTATAGTGGAATTTATAGTAGAATTCACAGTGAAATTTACAGTATAATTGATAGTGTAATTTGCAGTATAATTTATGATATAATTTGTGATATAATTTATAGTATAATTTGTAGTGCAAATTGCAGTGTAATTTGCAATATAATTTGTGATGTAAATTGGATTGTAATTTGTAGTATAATTTGAATTGATTGATATAAATAACACAAATAAAGAAATGTACACAAAAAAACAATGCATTTCTAAAAGGAGATTGTGTTACCAGTGTAATAGTACATACTTATATTTGTTTTAGATAATATGAAGAAAATCAAAATAAAACAGCTTATGATTAGCAAATATGATTTTCTTTGGAAAGTTATTATGACAATCAAGAATTTGGTGACACATTGAAGAAAGTTTTAATACTAATTGCTTGATATAGTCTGGTATAAAAATATTTGTATCTCAATAATTATTAATAAATTATTTTTTTTAAAATAAAATTTTAATTATATATATATTTCATAAAAAAATTTTTTTACTAGTAATAACTTTTTTAATTCTTATTTCATAAATTTTACTATATAAAAATTGAATAAATTAATATATAGTGCTTGTCAGAAATAATCTACTCCCATAATTTTCTATAAATCATATATAATATACCAAAATTTTCTGAACATAAAAAATATTACAAATGTTGATTATTGATACTTTTTACAAATTGGTAAAGCTTCTATATTAAATATTCTATGTTTACATCCAAAATACATAGTTATTTGATAACACATATTTCAATATTTAATAATCTAATTCTTGATATTTAGTAATCCAATTTGAATAAATATACAAACTTTCAATTTATCCAGTCAAGATGAATAAAATAATAATATTTTTGTTCAAATCAGATTATTAATTGTCAAAATATTATATAAGACTCTTTTTTTGAGTTAACAAAATTAATTAGCCAACTAAAATATGTTATTTTAATTGTTAATAATCTGATTTGAACAAAAAAAATACCATTCAATTTATTTTGACTAGACAAATTAAATAATATTATTTTATTTGAATTGAATTAATGGAAATCAAAATATTATATACTAAATTGATTAATTCATTTTTTTGGTGATCAATTTAATGAAAAATTGATTAACAAATATAATTAGTTATCTAATTTTTCTAATATAGGTAGATCAAGATATTATATTCTAAAATGAATAATTTATTGTATTTAGAATATAAAAGTTTGTAAACATACAATACACAATATAGAAGCTTTACCAATTTATAAAAAGTATTAATAATCAGTATTTGTAATATTTTTTGTGCTCAGAAAATTTTGATACATTACACATAATCTACAGGAAGTTATGGAGAGTAGGTTACTTCTGATGAGCACTATAAAACATATATAATAATTTAATTGTTAAATTGAAACTTAATTTTGTAATAACTACAAATATAATTTTTAAGAAATTTCAAATATATTTTTACCAAATATATAGCAATATGCTTGCATATTTTGAAGTTCTAATATTAAAAATTAATAAAAATAATTTTTTATTTTATTTTTTTAAAATAGTATTGCTTCATTTATTATTGAATAAATATACAAAAGAATAATATAAATAATATAAATAGTTAGTTTAAATTATCACTTTACTTAGTATAAAAAATCATAGAGTTTAATTAAATTTTGAATGACTTTTATTAGGAACAATTATTAATTTTTATTTTGAGGTGCAAATCGTTTTGCACCGGACATATCTACTTATAAAAGTGGACAAAATCTGTAATGGCTTGGGGGTGTTTTGCGGGAAGACACAAAGGAACACTGATATACAACAAGATAACGCAATGATCCATTAAGCGGGACATCAGATGTTACTTTTTGGGGTACTGTATATGTAAAACGAAAAATAGTAATATTGCTTTATAAGTCTCATTTATACGTAATTTGGTTGTCAATTATTTATAGTTTACGCGTGTTGATTTTATTCTACTCGTGCTAATTTTTTTAAGACCTACTTCGCATTACATAGCGTTAGTGATAAAGTCGATTCAATAGTCTGTAAACTCAAATACATGAATAAAATATTTAACTACCAATCAGAATAAATTTCTTCAAAGTTAAATGATTCAACCATTTCAGGAGCTCGATCGTGTCCGTTATCTTTAGCCTTTTGATACCATTTTAATGCCGAATCGAGATTTTGTTCAATGCCAATTCCGTATTGATAAAATTTCCCAAGATTAAATTGAGCTTTTCTATGTCCAAACTCTGCTGCTCTTAAATACCACTCAAATGCTCTGCAGTCATCTTTTTCTGTGCCTTCTCCATATTCATAACATAAGCCAAGTCGAAAATGCGAAAGTGAATTACCATCATTTGCTGAATGAAAAAGATATTCGAATAAAAGTTGTTCAAAATTTATATTTTGGTCATTTTTTTCATAACTAAATCTCAAAAAGACTCGGGATCGAACATCATCCAAATCGGCAGATTTTAATAAGAACTCGAATGCTTTTTGTTCATCTTTGATTGTTCCTTCTCCATTTTCATAGCAGAGAGCAAGATTAAATTGTGCGTTAGGATATCCAGACTCAGCCGATTTTAAATACCACTCAAATGCTTTTTGTTTATCTTTGATTGTTCCTTCTCCATTTTTATAGCAGAAAGCAAGATTATATTGTGCGTTAGGATATCCAGACTCAGCCGATTTTAAATACCACTCAAATGCTTTTTGTTCATCTTTGATTGTTCCTTCTCCATTTTTATAGCAGAAAGCAAGATTAATTTGTGCGTTAGGATATCCAGACTCTGCCGATTTTAAATACCACTCAAATGTTTTTCTTTCATCATCCTTTATTACCGAGTCAATATGTTGCTGGTTCATGATTTGATTTTCGGTTATGCTTTTTGCTATAATAAATGAAGAAGTTGTTAAATTACTTTCTACTTGATCCAAATAAGTGGCTGCGGCTAAATTATGATTGTTTTCATTTAATATATCTGTTGCTGGAACGGATGACAATGTTAAAGTCCGTCCCATTTGATCATTGATGGAGTCATCGAAATTTTTTATGGGACTTTTTTTTGACTTAACCTCTTTCCTTACACTATCTTTGGTCATTAATAGCTGTTCTAGATTCTTTTCGCATTCGGTTGATTGCTTTCTCTTGTTTTTTGCCATGCTATTTTCCCTGAAAAGCTCAATTTCTTTTGTTACGTTCAATATTTCCGATTCCGATAAATTATTTGTTGATAGAATAGATGGAGACGAAGATGTTGTAAGCACAGCTATTTTTTCGATTTCTTTGATCACTAACTTTTTGTTAATAATTTTGGACATGTTTATACATGTGCATTAAGACGAACTGATAGAAAATTCATCTAATCAAATTTTTGTTTCTGGAGTTCAACAGGTATCGGTACGTATATACATATACATGTATAAAGAAACCATTTGTAGTTGGATTGCTCTGTAATGTGTGATTAGTACCAATCCGGTAACGGTAATGGTAAATCATAAATGCATAAACTTAACGTTAAGTAACTGGGTAAATTATTTGTCGATGGTCAAACCAACATCATCTGGGTATGTCGACACTTTTTATTTGCCGTGAGTGTATATTCAAGAATAAATAAGTTTTAATTATTAATCTAATAATAAAAGTCAGCATTGGATTTTTTTGGACATTTGGATTCACTGAAATTTATTAAAGATCTGAGTATGATAGAACTTTAAATTTTAATATCATTCCATAATCAATCTTTGTTGAATAATCCACTTCATAACAGGCTTCAAGCTTTCCATATTTCGATAGTAATTAATTTTTGTCCGTTCATAAACCAAGAGCACCTTATTACAACCGTTTGTTTGCCTCGGTATAATTATATCGATATTTCGCATTCGGTTCTGCTTGTATATTTCAATTTTAGTATGACGAGTGTCTTAGAAGTAAATAAGTTTTTGAACACTATTAGAATAGCATTCTTTTTTGCCAAAAGAAAATGGTAATTACTTTATACTTACTGAATTAAATTATCAAAATTTTCTATCTTTTTCATTTGATCAAAGTGAAAAGTGGTTTTATTGACTTCATTATAAAATTCACTTATTTAATATGTATTTAAGATAATTCCCACTTATTAACATACATGTGTAGACAACAATATCATTTTGATCCTAATACATTCTCACATACAATTTTATTCAATTGAATACTTTATATTGTTACAAATAGCTTTTGAAATATAAATACATGTATAAGAGAATAAATTAAAAAACAGCTACAAATATGAAAACGATTGAGAGCTTTGCAAATATACATGTACATGTATTAAGTGCAACTATTTTGATCAGGTGCATCGTGACTTTCACACCAGAAATATATTAACCTTAATGAATATTCGCCGATTTTGTACTTGCCTGCCCAGAAAATATATAAATTCTAATCAAGAAATTTGACTTTTATTAGTTCAGAGGCACTAAATGGAAAGCCATACACTAGAGCGGCAGATATTTATAGTTTTTGCAAACGAATGTTCGGTGAGTAAAGTCATGATCATTATTTTGTGTACGACATTTATAAAGGAGTACAACCTATGATACATATACCAAACAATGTTCTCGGGTGGTGCAAGTTTATCATAAAAAATATTTGGAGCTTATCCCAGAAAACAGAATAATTGCTAAGGAACTTTATGAATTTATCGATCTACATGGCCAACGACTTTGCAGTATTATAGCTCTTTATAATATCCTAAAAAACGTGAAGAAATTAAGAAATTATTATTTTAAATTATAAAAGCAGAAACTGAAAAACTAGATGAAGAGATAAATATGGTGTTTACTATTTTCAAAATTTTTGGATTCAGTGCCAAGAAAGACGAAGAAATGTTATTAATGGATAAGAAAGCAGAGAGCTAAGATGCTTTGAACCGACCTTTCCTTAAAAAAAATATAGCTATGAGATCCCACAAAATTCGCTTGATGGATTCAATAAGTTATGATGTGTAGAACCGGAGACCGTCTTTACACAATCTACAAGGTCAATCATGACCTATAGTTTTAATAGAAGCTCTGAATCAAAATGGTATACTCTAGCTTTTGTTCCGCGAGAGTAACTGTTGTTATGAATAGTCTCAATAATGTTACCTTTCTTTACATGGGTGTTCGATCAAAGCTATTACAATTCTCGAGATTCTTAGTACATGACTAATGATACCTGACGAAACTATTTTCATGATGACGAAACATTTCGTCACGTCATTAGTCAGACGAAACCCCTGACGATTGACGAAACTAGTGACGAAACCTTCTGACCAATCAAATAATAGCTTAATCACATGATGATTGATGAAACCTGTGACGAGACCTTTTGACAAATCAAAATAATAGCTAAAATCACATGTACAAATACGTAACGTATTCCGAATTTTAAAAGAATGTTACATCATGAGAAATCTAGTACATGTGTTTGATTGGCTGAAGGTCATAAACGATCAAAATTATGCTGAATTTTGGCTAGCATTACAAAAAGTGTATAATTTTAAATATATATCTGGTAAAAAATAAACCAATAAATTGATAAAGCTTGACTTGACCTATTGTTTTTATGGTTTAGTTTGCCAAAATTGTCATTCGTCAGACGATTTGTCATCCGCCACTTACATTTCCAAAGTGGCGAAAGGTTTCATAAAAATCAATACATGTTTATATGTTTTAAATAAAAGCGACTAAAAGATGAAATATAGTATTTCTATTACTCACGATTGTAGCGAATGCTCTCTTTAGTGATCCGACCTGAGTTGACCCGGTGAACCGTTGATTTAAACCGTTCAAAAAAAGTTGACAACCTTTGATAAAACTCTCGGTTAACCGTTGGTTTATCGAGTTATTAATACATATATCAGATAATTAATTTCGATGGATAAAAAATGAAAATGTTTGCAATAAAATTAAATCATTAATTTCAATGTATAAAAATAAAAGTCTAAAAAGTACATGTAAATAATTAATTTATATATAGAAAAATAAAAATTTTTTTAATAAAATCAAATCACATAATTATGGATTAATACTAAATTTAAAAATAAATTTTCTATCAATTAATAATCATCCGAAAATATGGAACCTACAAACCTAACCTTTCTTTTCAAAAAAGCATAGTTTTGGGTTCAAGCGTGATTTTTTAACAGTCATTATATTTCCTAAACCTGATACATGATTTGTCATCAAGTCTATGATTCTCCAACGGTTAATAACAGCATAACCAGTTAACTGTTAACCCGACCCGTGAACCGGATGGTTCAACGGTTAATCCTTGAACGGGTCAGATCACTACTCTCTTTGATGGATGTTTTCTATATCATAAAGTTGATTTCTCTAGCGGAAATGAAGATATCGACAGTCAAATAAAAGAATAATCAACTTTTTGAATAACTTGCAAAAGGACAATTTATAAAAATTTGCACCATTATCTGGTATCGTAGGCGTACTACATTATAGATGTCTAATACGAGATCTCTATTCTAAGTTTGTTAATAAAATGGCGGTTACAATCTCATATGTAACTATAAATATCCGCAGATTCGGTGTATGATTTTCCATTGGTAACGGTAAGCCTAAGGTCGACAATGAAAGAAAATGGATCCCTTTTGAAAAATTACCGATTTTGAATATCTTGTAGCAATTTATTAAGCATCGTTGCACTACTACAAGTGGGATTATGATGGATACCGAGTTGTTGTGTAGTGATTTAAGCAAATTATAAACATAAAGAATTTCTAAAGTGTAAGCAAGTTTAATACTGGGACTGTTTCAGTCCTGGGATGTCCCAAACCCATCCCAAATTCTATATTTTAAAAGATTTTGATTTCTCAAAAAGTTTTATTATTTATTGAAAATTATTAAAACATTATCATAAGCAAGTTTAATTAATAGCTTGCTTGTCTTTTAAAAAAAAATTAGCTCTAAAACTAGTAATTTTCGTGTGACTGTTTGGACCAATTGGGACCAGTTAACAACCCTAGTTGGAGGTGTTTCATCATGAATCAGTAGTTTTTCTTGCAAATCACTCGATATCTCTGCATTCTCTTTAATTTCATGTGGTACACTATAATCGAAATCTGCCTTGCAAAAGAATAATGAATTAAAGAACTTAATGAAACAAATTAAATGTAAGTTTAGAACAAATAAACCAACACTTTACTTCTAAATATAAATCATATTAATTCGAATTATATCGAATATTTAGGTTTTACAAGTACCTGTATCATTTGGAATTGAAATTAATTTTATAGAAACATTCCATAGCGTGAATTGCATTTAGGTTGATTTGTTGTTTTTGTTTATATCTGTATGAATGCTCTTTGTAATTTCATTTCCTCATCAAGTTCTTTCAATTTTGCTTTTCTATTTTAAGACACTCTTAATTTCTTCATGAGTTTTGGGATATTCTAAAGAGTTATAATACTGAAAATGCAATGTATTCAATTACTATTTGATATATGGAATATTGCATTGACAAAGTCTTTAAGTTCTTCAGCAGTTAATCTGTTTCTAAAATAGGAACCTTGAATTTTTCAATAATAAATTTGTACCATCTGAGAATATTACATGTATTTGATATCATAGATCATACTCTTTGTAAATGTCTAATATAAGATTGCTATCATAACTCACTCACAAAATGATCATTCGCCTGTTACAATCTCATATACAACCATCCCAAACTACATATAAATATTTGTAGCTTTATTTTTTGGC